TACATTGTTGACACTAAAAGATTCACTTAACATTCTTTACTTCTTGTGCTACTCTATCTATTGTTATATGTAGAGAGGAAAAGTTTTTTGTATATTACAATCCTCGTTAAATAAATTAATTAAACTAAACTACCTATATTTCGCAAGTATTTACCAAGTTATCTATCAAATATTTAATGAAGTACTTGATCAGTACTTGTATTTGTTAAATTACTTGATAAGCACCTTTTTTTACTTGCAAAAAACTCTAAAGTACTCTGGACATTACTTACCCAAGCACTTGTCTAAGTATTTGTACAAAAGTACATCCACTAAGGGCAACTCTAAAGTTTATGGCGATTACATTCAATTTAATGGTATTAGAGGTTGTTCACTTATTATTATGATTCATTTGTTTTGCGAACAGCGCCTGAATATTAAATAAATGAATATGAAATAAATATCTCTTCTATACAGACAATAATCTTTAACACACAAAAGTGATCATAAAAAACCAAGTGGTTGTGGCCGCTTCCGTGTTACTTTGATATAAAAAGTGTGGACACTATAAATCTGAAAAAGTTCTGGAAGCTAAAAGGTTTGAATCTATCAGTCAATTTTTTGATTTTTCATGCTTTTTGCTGTCATAGACGCAGTGCCACCTATCATGGTCTACTTTTACTCGCACGTAGTTGATTATCTAAATCTTAAGGAAAACAACTCTTAACTTGATTGCTTTTTATTTAATTTGTTTGATAAATTATTCACCTCTCGCTCGCAATGACGTTTAGTTATTAGTAGAGCTTATTTAGTCAAAAGTCGTAGAGCTTATTAATAATGTCATTAGACATACTCAATTCATTTTACTCTCTTCTTCAGTCTGTCGGTATATTAGAAAGGGGAATTTTATCCAATTCTTTTTCTCTACGCATGATCGCTTTTATTTTTCGTTAGTCTCCAAAGCAAAGATGTTAACCTCTGTTTTAGATGATTAATACAAATGATGGGTAGTTATAGTCACGTAACAATATTAAAAAAGATGAAAAATTAACATCAAAAATTGAAGACGAAGAAGTCGTTACAGTTAAAGATAAAATGAATTCCAGCTGGAAGAAATATGCATACAATTTAGATTTTATGGATGTACAAAAATTGCCTGCAAATATCAAGATAATTATTGAAAAGAATTTTTGTCGTTTATTCATATGGGAACTGTATTTTGGTAGGCTCGATAGACATCTGGTAAAAAAGGAGCTATCTCTTCTCGCACAAGATATGCATGTGCAAATATTGTGATGCTGAGGAACGAGGAAGAAAAGAGGCGCAAAAGATAGCAGAGATCAGATATATATATATTTATGTCCATGTGCGAAAAGAGATAGCTTCGTATGCCCTAGTGTATGGTCGCAAAAAGAAACTCCAAATACATTCGCTTTCTTTCTTAGGCTACATCTTTTGGACAATATTTTTCGGAATTGGACGTAAGTTATATCTTTTAATATTGAACCATAGGAATAAAGATAGTTTATCTTTCGTTTTTATAAAGCAATGGTAATGTTTTTTCCAATGGTTAAGTTAGCAATACATGGTTATGAAATTTTGATACTGAGTTTAGCTAGTCCAATAATAATGGGATCAAAGTTGATAAGCATGACTGTAGAAGTAAGTAAATTTCATATGTTTCCAACTTACATTTACATTTTATGTTTAGTGTGGAACTGGAAAATTTCTTATTCGTTTGCTTGTTATTAGTAGTTTGTTATCGTTTCAATTTGAAGAACCTTTAATTCGATTGTTACTATTGTCATTTGGTACATGTGTGGCAATGCTTGATTTGTGTTCAAGTTTAAGTGCAAAATATTACTGTTACAGGTGATCATGTTCGTTTTTCTAGTCACTATTTTTCGCATAAAAACTTATTTTTCTTCTCTCCAATTTTAGATCGATCGTTGTATGGGCGTTAATATGTAGTCTTTTCTTTTTTCTCAGTGCGAGAGTTTATTTCAATAGTCTTATACCGGCATGGTCTGGGATTTTTATGAATCTCGGTCACTTTTTGGTAGGTTTTGCAGTTTTATTTGATCAGTTTATAAGAGGTAAACTTATCTGCTTTGATCTGAATTATTTTCCTAGCTAATTTGCTTATTTAGATCGTACTATGTGGCAATTGTTACCATCTTTCGAATATCAAACATACAATGAAATTGATCCACTGATGCCAACGTTGGGTATGAGATCTGCGGCGTGAGTTTCTGCAAATGTTTTCCGTTTTTTTGTTAACATTTTATTATTGTAATATAATCTTTTAGTGACGTTAATAAAATATTCGTCTTTCGTTTTTTCAGGCTTCAGTCTATTCCGTGTTTCACCTCGTGATGCTATCTTTCAATCCAACTGGCTATTGATTGGTATCGGTTTTGGAAGTTTATTGTTTAACTTAAACTGGGTTTTTGGTGAATTATCTGTTGTCTCACGTTGGGCGTCACATGATTTCCCGAATCAAGGTCTCAATCCTATACCATATGGGTGAGTTATATGATCTGATATTCGAGTAATAATGAACTGATATATCATTATTTTCTTTATATCAGTAGTCTTCTTGTTTGGATATTCTTATTTTGTGGTGTAGTCACTGTTAAACGACTTGATATTGTTACAAATCGGTGGTGGGCCTCTGTGGGACTCATTTCTTATTTTGTACTTTACTTTGGACGTGGCTTACTTTCCTTTGTTGGTTAGTGCATTCATGTAGATAAACAAATTATAGTAGAATATAATTTACTTTTCTTATTGCTTCTAGGTGGTCTTGGTCTGAGTTTGTTTATTGGTTCTGTTATTCCATTATTATTTGATAAAATTGCACGAGGATTATCTGCTCGTATAATTGTTGTAGCATCAATAATTTATATATTACAAATTATCTATGCTGTTTGGACATCTGCATATAATTTTGTACCGTTTGGAGGAACATTAACGAGAGAAACATCATACATTCTCGTATTTTTAAATTTTTTTGGAATTTATCTAGGCGTTTATACAGCAAGTATGGTTTGTTCTTCAAACATCGAAACGTAAACTATATGTATTTATTTTCGTTCAGAACACAATTTATGCACACTCGTTCGAGGTCGATTATTGTCAATTGAACTTCCAAATCGTTATATATGGAGCGGTAAATATACGAAATAATTATTATTGATTAATAATGTTCATATTCAACTTCCTCTCTAAGCTTTCATAAATTATTTATTTTAGTATTTGGTATATCATTATTATTGGCATGTGGTAGTACATTCTCACGTCTAATGTCTTTACCATCAATATCAGCTAATAAAGCATTAAATGTTAATAATATATTTTTATCTGCATGTTATTTTTCATTGATAGATCTTTTTATTCTAGCCAACTCATATCACAGCAGCTATATGGACAGGTAGTCACAAATTATATTTCTACATTTAAATTAGTATTTTGACGATCAATATTTTTGATTCACTTCAGTTCATTTTGGATACGATAATAATGCTCGTCCCAGCTTGGATAGAATTGCTGCAGTTTTGTCCGATATTGGTATGACACGTTCTATTTTGTCAATAATTATATTGTGCACTACATGAATTTTTTTATTATACTAGATGCGGATGTCATTGGTTTATTAGAGACAGACACTGCTAAACCATTTTTTGGTAATACAGATTTAACGTCTTATCTCAGTGAAAAGCTACACATGTTCGCCGATTTTGGACCATCATCAAAAGATCATACATGGGGGTATTTTAGTTTTGATTGCAGACGGAGCAGGCTTTAATTGTAAATTTAATTTAGAAAAAGCTAGTATATCGAACTTTTTCGCTTTTCAGGTGCATTATTCTATCCAAATATCCGATTGTCAAGTCAAAACATTATCTATTACCATCACCAGAAGGTAACACAAGCGAACGAGACAGATTATAAGTAAATAACTTTTCTTATACTTTTTTCAGGCGAATTAGCACCAGCAATCCACGCCACTCTTCAAACGGCCACAAAAATGATTGATGTAGTTATTGTACATATGGGCAATGATAGAGATGATCTTGATCGAAGATTACAAGCACAAAAACTGAAAGATATAATGAAAAGTAGTAATAATCCTCTTATATTTCTTGGTTACATCACATCAGCACCATTCAATCGTGACTACACTGCATTAACATCGGCTGCTAAAGATATTGATTCTACTGACACGGATCGCTGGTGTGAATATATTTTGTACAAAAATCTCATACGGTAAATGGTTTAATACATATTAAAAGAGAAAATTATTTAATTTCATTGTTTATTTCAGAGTTGCTTATGCTCGAATTACGCATGCTGGTTTAACAGATACAGAAATCCAAGTAGCAAAATTTAAAATACCTACTTCAGATACGTACGAAGATAATCCGATTGTTACAACAGATCCTTCTGCCATACAAAATCGATCATTGCTGTTTAATTCCAAGTATGTTGTTCATGTATTATCAGAAATTTATTAGTACTATACTAATCTTTTTTTAGATTTGGACAATTTTACCGAGGACACGGACATTTCAATTCTCATCGATTTCATATGGATACTCCAGTAAGATCTTCTTGCCTCTGTGAGAAACATGTAATGTTTGCAATCTTTCCGTCATTTATTTCTAGAAATATTTTCTGCCGAAAGATAGAGCAAGTCAGTGTCGAGAAAATGGCACGTGCTAAGACGTTTATTTTTTTTGTTTCGTCAACAGTTTTTGTCAAATATGTAGTCTATGAACTTGTTCTGTTTAGTGACGACTTTCAAAATGCCTTGACTCTTGTTTTCTTTTATAAATTTTGTTCAATTGTATCAATAATGTTGAAAAATTTTCTTTTTATATTCTTTTCCCAATTTTTCTGACATAGATAAACATAATGAACATAACTACAAGTTCTTTTATAGTCCCATTGAAAGTTTTTAAGCCGACTGAGTTTCACTCAGTCGGTTTATTCTTTCTTTCTTTCTTTCTTTCTCTATAGTTTTGGTCGATTTTTCCACCCACTGTTCTTGGTTATTTCTGATCGTACAAATTTGAGAAAAAGATGATTTCAAAGTAGAAGCATCGTACATGACACAACTGAAGTTAGTTTTCGGATATGTGCTTTAGCTATCCGATAATTAGTATCACAAAATGAATATTTATTTATAATTTAATATTATTTCAAAATTAATAATATTTATAACTCTATCATGTCTCCCATCAGATAATTAATCGTCACGTAATATCCTTCGTAGTGAATATATACTATAGTGCTTGATATGATGAAAACTATAGCAGAATGTATGATCGGATAATGAATCAACTGATACGATAATGTAAATAATATGCTGTGGAAGATAAATGTAGCTGAAAACGTATATAGCAGTTTACCAAGCGTTACATCCACTGTACTGCTATAGGTAGAAGCTAGCTGATCCCATTCGCGTTTCACTCAGTCGGCTTCTAATCTTCGCGGAGCGCAGTTGGCGTCTAGTTTTACTTCTATCGTTATTACCTTGATTACACAATGTTTATTGTTTATTCATTCTAACAACCATAAAGAACTTGAATTTTGTAACTTATCCAACTTCAAACGGTCAAAACTAGAAATGGATCACAGCATTTTGAAAAAAGAAAAACCAGTACCAAAAATAACAGAACAACAAAAATTCATCATATCGGAAACATCAAATTTGTACAAAATAATTACCTATCTTGTCAAAAGAAAATATGGATGCAAAAGATAACACATGTTTTTTTGAAAGTCTATTTTCTACGTCTATAGAGATGAATAAAATTCCTAGCGTTAGTGTCTAGTAACTCTGTCTATCGTGGAAAAACATCAATTGAACATCAATTGAACGAGCTGTTACCAATTTGGCAGTAAGTAATCAAGAAATTTGATTGTTAACTCATAACCGAGAAAACATGCAGCATTAGCCGGAAATGCCCTGAGCATCACAGGCACTATTCCTTTGTATAACGATCTGATTCCTTCAGTTTGCATTAATTCTTTAAAAACATGACTAATTCCAGTATATCGACCCTGTGGTGCTAAAAGAGCATAAATAATATTTAATGAGGTTTCTATGAACTCTATATTCACATACCCGTTTGATAACGAGATTTCAATACATCTGGAGGAATAGCCACGATCCAATTACAAATACCAGCTGTACCACCTGCTACTAGTGTTCGCCAAGCGCTTAATTCTCCAACGCTAAATAATCATAATCAGTTTTAAAATTATATACACATGATACAAACATAGATAATACAGTTTATGATACTTACGGACGACCTTCTGGTGTTAATTTTTTTTTTAGCCATTCGTAAGATGTGAAATAGACACCAGTAGCAGGAACATCTTCAGAGAAATCATTGAAATAATTAAAGAAAACACTTTTACACATAACAAACCTCTTAATAACGTTGCAGCAGTTCCTCGATAAATCGAACGAATGCCTCCTTCTTTGTACAACTTTTTTGCACAATCAACTGGACCATTGTACATTTTCACACTGCTATTATGTTGTATCTAAGGAAAATAATATACTGTTATTTTTTCAGAAATTTAGTGCTTCATTCTAAATTTTTACAAATATTAATGTAATGTTACCTGTAATAAACATTTGATTCTTTCTCCTGGTGCCATAATTATTGTCGTAAATACCCCAGATAACATACCAGCGGCAAAAATTTGTGGAAAACTACATAAAAAATTAGTATTTGAATATCGAAACAAATCTTACTGTCTATTATTAAACATTTTATTATTTTTTACCAAATTTATGCGATTTAGTGCAAAAGATTTGCTACTACTGCAACAAACGCTTGTTTGACTCATCGACTTTCTTTTCATTTTATTGCAGAGGATAGTTTTATTAGTAATGTAACACAACTGTTGTGAATCACATGGGTTGAGAAATATTAGCAGAACATAGACAACATGATGTTCTGAATGAATATCATGTTGAATGCTGTCGGTATTTCTCAGCTCTATTCAATGAACTAACGTTCAATAAGATTTAATAATGCTTGACCGAAGAAAAATCTGTCATTAAAAGCCGTTTTTCAAACTTTCGCTGCTTTATCAATGATTAGATATTCATATTGAGAAACGAGATATATTACGTATTTTATACTCGACCAGGGCTAACTGAAAAATGTGCTTTAGTTAAACTGTCATTTTAAAGAGGTTTTCCTAGCCAAAAGCCCATAGGAATGTTTAGGAAGGTAAAAATGATTGATGGATAAAATATTAGATATAAAATATTCGACAATGGTTAAAGGGCACGTTCCGAAATTTTTAGATCCAAAGCATGTTTCCCTCATGTATTTTATTCATGCTCACTAACGTTTGATTTTGTTAAGGAATACTGACCTTCCTAGCTTCATCCGGTTATTTAAAAACCTTTTCAACCTGATATTCTTAATCAAGACATCATATAGTCCATGTTCATTGAATATTTTTCAAACGGCATGGCTTCCGCGATGGGGGTAAACGGAACTAGAATTATGAATCTTCGAATCGCAAAAGATAGTTTCAATCAAGAATTTTTAATCTAATTTTTAAAAAACACATTCTGATACGGTTTACTATTAATTACCTATACTGACCATTCTTTCCGTGTGGTGTTTGCAGTTTTTTTCCAATACTGTATCCAAAGAAACAAATGGCAAACATGGGCGTTACACCAATAAGTGGTGCGCCCATTCCTTTATATAAACCCGAAAATCCCTAAATTAGAGAAGACAAAATGACTAATGCGATATGATGATCAGTGAAACATATAAAAACAAGTTGATCTTATTATCCCATTGCTATTCCTGTGTATGAAAAAACTCTTCATTTGTTTTTCTTCCTATTATGACTTATATGAGGAAAATGAAATACACCATTTATTATGGATACGATAATTAATATGATTCAATTCTTAACAGTTATTTAACAGCAATGATGGTTAGTCTTATTCTTTTTCATAAATATTGTTAAACTTCACTGGTAAGAAAAGAGTATTGATAAAATTGCCATGCAAAACATATAAAAAACTAAGCTCCTCAATAACAAAATTGCCCTGTTTTTATAATAGTTAGGAACAAAACAATGAAACATTGTATGGAAAAAGTGTTGTTTTCTCAACACCATCCCGTTTATTTAATTCTGTACTATGTAATTTTGTATATTGATTATGACGTATAAATAACTGCTTTATTAGTTATGATGCAAATAGAATGAAATTTATATAGCTTGACAGTATTAATAACACAATCTCTGGCAAACAAATAAGGAGCAACTAGTGACTCTACTGGTACCGAAATAGAAATGACAACATTTTAATTATAAAATTTTTAAGAAGAACTTAAATCAAGTTCTCTTAGAGAGATTTCTAAACTGATTTATGATCTATTGTCAAACTTACTTCATGACTAACAATCTTTTTTGCACAATCAAATGTTCCAGTATATAACGGAGTTTCTCCAAGTTGTGGTTTTGACATTGTTTGTAAACGAACCTTAGGAAAAAGAAACGTATGTCATTATGTTATAGAATATTTTAGATTTATTTGTATACTTTAATTGTATCCAGTGGATGTCCAGTGATCACTAAGCAGGCGCCACCAACACCGCCTGCGACAAAATCTTTTATTGGACTAATTTTTTTTGGTGCCGTATTCTCATAGACACGAATTTCATTAGCACTTATTTCAGCCATGTCGATTTTATAAACTAAAACGTATAGAAAATGCATTTATATTTGAACTTTTTAATCAAGTTTATAACCGATAAAGCATTATCTCTAGATTTATCTTTTCTGGTTTAAGAGACGTTTAACGGAGAAGAAAAGCAGCTCAGCTGCAGATAATACTTCCGATGCAAGAAAGATGCATCACATGTTTTTTTTATCTGCTTTATCTTAAGGATCGCCCCCCTCAGAAATTATATCCGACACCGTACATCCGATCTTGACGAAACTTTTCATAAATGTTCGGCACAATGAGTTACTGGGATGAAAAAAACTTTTTGTCTCCAAGTCTTACGGTTTAGGAGTTTTCCAGAGATCAAGGTCCCAAAAGGACCCTGAAGTTTTTCCCAAGATTTTTTAATATACTTTAAGCTGGAGAGTTCGGGTTTATTTTATTTTAAACTAGACACCTAACTACATGGACTGACCGGCGCCCATTTTTCAATAAAGTCTTTGTTGGTTTTCCAGGCAACCAACAACCTCCAGAATTCGAAAAATCCTTAGTTTGACAAAAAACTAACGAGGGAATCATCCGAAGTTATAAATCGATTTCGGGTTGGGACTACTTTTGTTAGAAAGGCCCTACCGAGTAGTGAAATACCCCAACTTGGTTCATTCCCATGGTGCTTTATTGCTGAGATACTGAATTTTTAGTCAGTTTTTTGCCTATAGAGCTTGGATTTCGAGCAAAATCCTACTTTCAAATTTTGATTTCAAACTTGCCATGCTTGTAGCCCATAGTCATAATAGTACGACGGGAAAATATTCGGTGCTAATGAATTTTCCTGCCTTGAGATATTGAGACTCGAACATTTTACCAGAAGGTAAGGGTGAGGGTCAAATATTCGAGTCTCAATATCTCAAGGCAGGAAAATTCATTAGCACTGAATATTTTCCCATCGTACTGCTATGGCCATGGACTACAAGTATGGCAAGTTTGAAATCAAAATTCGAAAGTAGGATTTTGCTCGAAATCCAAGCTCTTCAGACTATCTTTCCATGTGCATATCTCAAAACCGACTTTTTGATCGAAAATCATCATTTCTGAGGTGGGGGCCCTTTAATAATAGGACTTTTTATCTCACGATTGACAGCATAACTTCGCTCTTTTACTCTCTTTATATTTGTTAGAATTTAAATTGACAAGTACCCTTGAATTTTTTTGCTAATACAGTAGCGCCATAAGTGTGAATAAGAATAGTGTTCTATGAAGTATCATTTATTCAATTATAAAATAAATTAAAACAAAAAAGAGTTTAACATTGATAACAAACAGACATGGACTATACTGAAAACAAATCAGTTTATGTGAAATAGAATGTGTATAAGCAGAAAAAAACTCGAGAATAAATAACAGAAAAACAATTTTCGTCAATTTATACGCTTGTATATTTAAAATAAAAAAGGAAAATCTACTCACATCCGTGACCACAGAAAAAATAGCATAGTTGACTAAGTAAAATAGACTTGTGTGAGATACAATACAGTTCTGTGTTTTTTCTTTAAATAAAAGAAAAGAAAAAGTGATACATTACTACGTACATTTGACAAACAAGAAAAAACGAGATTCAGAGTGCCTGTGCGCAATAAAGTTTTTTGTTCAGATTGAAATGTTGTTTATTTGTCTTTTGATGATTCTTGTTTTTCTCCAGAAAGAACACTTAGTTTTATCTAAAGAAAGTGATATAGAGAAATGATAAAAACAATACTGCAATAGATTAATCCATTTACATACATTTAATTTTCGGTTTTCCTCGCCTAATCTTTCATATTCTTTTATGTGCTCGACATATGTTTTGTTCAGTTCTTCATAATCTAGTTTGGATTTGTCCAAAGCTGCAAAAACGTTGCGCATTTTTTACTGACAAAACAGGATATTATTTATTTTTATTTACCCTGTTTAAGTTCAGCAACTTTCGCATCATGTTCAGCTGGATCAACGGATCGAGGAGCATCACCGGTCGGTACTGGAGTATTTTTTTTGAGATCACCTTTCTGATAAAATAAACAACGAAAACTAATCATTATTTAATAAATTTCAGCAGTCAGCTTAATTTACCTTTAAGTCATCGGCTGTAACTGTATCAGCATAACGACGAGCACCTTCAGCTTGCTTACGAGCTGCCGTTGAATTGGCCATTTCAATTGCACACATTGACATTAAGCCAATAAGTCGTTTGATAACACTAAAAAAGTCATTTGAGAATACATAAGCGACATTCATTCAGTTCAATGTGAAGACTAGTATAAAAAGTTCTATTAATAATGAGTGAATTGTACTATAAGTTATGTGATGCATTAAACATATCATTTTGAACAAGTTTATTGTAAACAAACAGCAGGGTACAATGATTAACATTGTTTTAGTCTCAGCTAATAGTATTTCACTATCCCATACTACTTACAACCATAAAAAGAGTGCAAAACCAGCAATATAAAAGTTTCTTTGTGATCGAAATTGTTTCATGTGTGCATGTGCTTCTGCATGTGGCGTTGCTAGTGACTCTTTAGTGGGGGTATATGTTGAATATTTTCGTAGTTCACGTATTGAATCTATCCAAAAATACAGAAAATATGATATGAAAAATTCAAACAGAAACCGAAACTCTTCCAAATTTACCCAAAAATAATAAACCAAATATGCATATTATAAAATTAAAATAATATTTAGAACCTAAAATAGTGTGAATTACTAAATAAGCAAATCAAATAATTATGTTATCTAAATGAGTACATCACCAGCTGCAAATGCTGCGACCAAACGAGATTTGAAAATCTTTTGCCATCTAAACGAAGTAGTACATGTTTAGATATTGAATAAACACACTATGATATATAAATTCTACCTTGATGGTGAGATGATTGGTAGTAATAATATAATAACTATGGCTATTTCGCAGTAGAGAAAAGTCGCGAGAAAGGTCCACTGAAAACTCATCTAAAAAGAACAAACGTATTTCTCTAAATCACAATATTAGATCACTAATATGCAAATCTATTTCCTTATTAATAAATAACTTAGTGATGAAAATATATTTCTATTATCGAAGTCTTATCGAAATACTTTTATTAAGGAATGAGGCCATTGAACAAAATAAAATGCAGTCTTAACAGTGAGCGTAACCTTTTCGGTTCACGTGGACTTTGGATCGAACAAAAAATCCTAGAAAATGTACGTTCTAAAGGTGTTTTATTTGAGTATAATAGTTGCGTGTATGATAGACGTGTTACCTGCTCAGTTCATCAAACTATATTTTTCTTCTATAAAGTAACTCAAATAAATTTATGCAGCACACAAGCAGTCTAAAATCTACCACGACAGCACACCGACACCACAACGATGTGATGAATCACATAACACAAAAAAGAAAAAAGCGCTGGTCGAAACAGATACGAAGCTGATCATTTTTCACTGAATTTCTTTTCTATTCTATCCGAAGTCGATTGAAACAGACAATGTACACGTTTGAAACGCTTTACTGGTTTATTTGGATGGGTTTTGTACAAAGGTAATTTAATTATGATGATATCAAACGAGAATATATAGTAGGATATTCTCTCATTCGTGCATTTATAACTTAGACCATACAATAAAACCATTGCTCTATTTTGTAACAAATCAAAAACGTCTTTCAAATATATAGAGCTCAAAAAAACCAATGAGTGAACAGTAAACAATTCGTTTGCATCAGACTAATGATCTGTCAATTCGTCATAAATGATCATAAGTAATAGTTGAGAAAGTATTATTCAATTTTTTCCGATTATTTTTGTATGCTCCTATGTGAAACATCGTTCTGACTATTGTTTTGGTAAAAAGGAATATGTGATGTTTTTTTCTGATCTTTCCGGTGGAAAGATACGCCGAAATGTGTTTCGAGCTTTTCAAATTTTAATCATCTCAAAACTAAGTGCCCATTTGTATCTGTCTAGCCTCTTATTTACACTATCTACAATTGTATATTGTTTAAAGATTTTAAAATCATCCAAATTTTTAGTATTTTTTCTCATGGGCGAACTAGATCAAGTTCCTAAACAAGATGTGTTGAATTGTTCATATCCAACTTGGTATCCTTTATTTGAAAAGGTCACTTTGAAAAGGTAATTAAGAATAAACAAGTGTCATTTATCTATGAACGTTACACTTTTCTAGTGTAATATTAAATTTGACTGATGATGTATTGCATTATTTGAAATCAGATGAATTTTATCTTCCATCGAGGTAATATTGTTTGTTTTACGAGAAATTGTATGTAAAAAAACTGAATTTATTTTGTAGTGCGTATGAAGCAATGGACAAATCGCGTTGTGCCTCAAAGAAAGATGACGACGATGACGATGATGTTGTAGATGATATAAACGTAAATGTAACTTCTTTGTATTAAGTTTGATAATCCTAATATTGTTTTTTTATTTAGTGGTCAGACGACGAAACAGACGATACAAAGAAAGTATGCTTATCTATAGTTCTCATTTATGAAATGTGTTTTTGGCTCTAAGATAACTTTTAGATTTCTTTTCCAGAATTGGAGAAAGCAATTTTAACTGTATTAGAAAAATTTGAAGCTGTATTTCCGAAATTAAATTGGAGTAGTCCAAAAGTTAGTTTTCACTTTCATTTGTCAAACAGTCATTTGTACAATATATCTTTTTTTTGTAGGATGCTCGTTGGATGATATGTGATAATCGTTTGAGATGTACAAATCTTGCCGATATATTTTCATTACTTAAAAGTTCCGATTTTATTACACATGATCTTCACGAACCGTAAGTTAACAAGACATAATTTGTTACTATGCATAATTCCAGCGTGTGTATAATTATAGGTTCAAATTTTGTCGAGTTAACGACGAAAACGTATCAGATGATAAAGAAATTCAATATGTGCTCGTTTTGAAGAAATGGTATGCACTACAGCCATCCAAAGAATTTCGGTGTTTTGTGAAAAACAATCAGATTATTGGTGAGTTATTTTAAGAAGCGTCCATTTTCTCACGGGTTATCAAACTACAGTTCCCAACAGCAGGCTAGTCCGACGTAGATGTCTTCGTTCAATCCTATAAATACTTACTTTCGGGCAAACCAGGAGAAATATATTGTGCGTCACTTCTGAACTACGTGATGAAAAACATAATCGCTAAGCCAAGCAAGAGCAGATATCGCGAATGCTCTAACATTCTTTACAATTTGAGAAGGGGTTTGATATTTTTCCTGTTTCTAGCTATTAGTCAACGTGATAGTGACAACTTTTACGATTATATACTACAAACTTCAAATGTTATCGCTGATAATTTAAAAACCTTTTTTGAAAAGAATATAAAAGGCAAATTTTTATCCATAAATTTTGTTGTCGATATTTACCGTCAAGATGATGTATGAAGGAAATGTTGACATACTTTCGAGCCATGTAGAACAATGTATGTTTATCTTTAAGCAAAAACTGTACATAATCGACTTCAATCCTTGGGGAGCAATGACCGATGCTCTTCTGTTTGACTGGTCAGAGTTAGTCGCATTGAATGAGGTAAAGTCGATTTGTTTATAAATATGCTAAATCAAAGTTATAGATTTGATTTTGTTTCTAGGTGAATGAACCAGAATTTCGTTTCGTTGGTTCACAGCACGGTGTTAAACCAAATAGTTTTACACAATACTCAATGCCAAAAGATATTGCTGATATAACACGAGAACGTGATATTGATAAACTGATTGATGTTATCGCTGTGAGTTACGATTTCAGAGTATAGTAACTAAAAGAAATAAGAATGTCTGTTTAGAGTCAGGTACGAATTCAAAATGAAGACAAAAACGACAGTGATGGATAGAAGGGAGAAAGTTGTAACAATGAATCAGATTTATCAAATGACTGATCAATAAATAATGGATAATTGTGTATTTATTCGATCTCGTTTTCGTTCATAAAACACTTTTTTTGAGAATCGAAAAACGTTATCTGTTAAGTTGTTGTTACTATTAATAAAAGAAAACGTATTCATAATTCTTTTGTATAATTGTAGATCAGTGATATGATGAATAAGAAATAAAGAAGATTACGACTGGATGCGTGTGCGTCTAGAATAGTTAAGATTTTTTCCAGTTCTATAGAGAGTAAGAATATGTGTGAGGTTGAGTCTGTGCATTGGACAGTATATCTGAATTCTTTGGATACGAATGTTACTAAAAGAAACAGATACAACATGAACTTTGTCGATTCAACTGAACTCATATTGCTAGATGACTTGTAGGAATTAAATCATAATTCCAGTTATTTTGAAAGGTCGCGATCGTGATCACACAAAAGGGTTGATCAAGTTGATAATACCCGATAATTATGATGAAGTAAAATTTCATAACATTGTCATAAAAATTAAAATCACTGTTTTCTGTAATTATTATGACGATTTTATTTCTTAACTGTAAAATAATGGTTGTTTATTAGAACACTTGATAGAAATTAATATCCCATCAGTTTCACATTTCTCAAACAGTTGATTTCTTGTGATTGTACCTTTAAATAGATAATAATGAATGCATGTAAGTTTTTTTGAGAGGTAATAGAGTTTGAGGGAGAATAGAAGAGAAAAAAGTGATGTTTGAAGTATCTCTTCAACGTATCTTACGCTTTTTAGCGAATTTTTCGATTAAATCTCGCTAAAATCGACAGTTTTTTGATCGAGTCATCCTTTACATAAACCGTATGTTGTTTTTCTTTTTAATATGATGAATATACTTAAATATTATTATTTTTTTTCTAAAGAAAACAAACCGATAGTCTTTTCTTTTGTTCTAGATGGCGAAACGTTTTTTTGAAAATGCTTCTCATGTTGTACAATATGCCGCTTATCGTCCAACTTATTCTCAAGCATTAATTGAAAAAATTATGAATTATCTTTCGTTGAAAGTACGTGTGTTTATTAGTTGTGGTATGTTGTCCTTAACTATAAATATTTGATAACAGTACAAAGGTGATTACGATATTGCAATTGATATTGGATGTGGTTCGGGACAGAGTACAAAATTATTGTCTCCTTATTTTCAGCAAGTATACGGTATGTTTAATGGAACATTGTTGTCGTCAATTACCTTATCGATTTTTCTTTTTCTTTACAGGATATGATGTGAGTAAAAATCAAATAAAACAAGCAAATGAAAAAAATACAAATTCAAATGTAAAATACCGGTAATATAGCGGTTAATATAAACAAAATATTTCAATTGATTGAAGATGTTCTTTTTAGTGTTAGCTCTGAAAATATTATTTCCCATGATAATAATTCTTTATGTCTTGTAACTGTTGCTCAGGCAGCCCATTGGTTTAATTTACAACAATTTTATTCAGAAGCACATCGTACATTGAAATTAATGGGTGTATTAGCAGTCTATGGTTATGGATTTGTTGAACTTCATGGACCACAAAATAAGAGATTAAATGAAATTGTAACGAATGTAAGTAAATATTTGTCGATTTCATGTGAGATAATATCATTTATATTCAGTTTTACCGTAAAGTTCGTCCATTTTTTCCTGATGATCGAATTCATATCGATAACAAATATTCATCAATTATTTTACCATATGTCGAACGAGAAAGGTTAGCCATATTTTCTAAAACAAATTTTTGCTATTAATCCTCAATATAAGTTGAGTTATAGCTGTGTAATGTTTTTTATTATTCGAAAAGTTACTGATTCTCTTTTTAAGAAAGTTTTTATCTCATCTACAGAGTTTTGTACTAGTTTGGAAGCAATATAACAACTATATTTTAAATTAAATACTCATTGTTCAAACTTAAGCCTGGCTATCACAACTCTTTATGCATTTCAGTTTTATATGAGTGTACATGTTAAAATGACGCATAAATAATTCAACATGAATGTTTGAATGTTGATTGTTTGAATTTTACAAGAAAACATTGCACAGCTATTGTCGACAAGAGAGTATTAACGTTTATTTTGGACGTTATAAATACGATCATCATAAAATTCTATTTTCATCAAATTTCTGTTGGTAATATTCTAAATTTCATCTGTTGGTCTAGAAAGTGGTACTTTTAGTTTTATTTTCTATATTAAAGAGATGAAAGTGTAAAAATTAATTGTACATGGGATATTCAACGATTATTAGGTTACATTTGTACATGGTCGGGCTATCAAAATTATGTGAAATTGCATCCGAATAACGATATTATCAATGATTTACGTTCAGAGTAAGAATATTCAACTAATTGTGTCTGTATAATATTTTACCATTATTTTAGACTTTTTTCAACTCTCAATACAACGAATGAAAGTGAAAAAATTGAACTTAGTTTTGATACATTTATACTGATGGGGCGCAAAACTTCAAATGATTTATATTGAACTAAAAAATTCTTGTCGATAATAGTTCTTGTTTTTTTGTTGTCACTTTTAATTTGTGTATTTTGAAATATCTATTTTTATTAATCGTTCAAAAATAATACTCTTCACGCATCCTCGTGAAAGGATCAAGGGTTTTTAATCATTCTTAGCATAAATGAAGCTTAAAATCTGATATATAGATTTTTTTATCTAAAACTTATTTTTCCAGCGTTTAATGAGATTGATTTTTTTTTTTTAAATTTTATTTACATCGTTTCTTCTACTTAATAGATGACTAGTACAGTAAAGCGTGAATGTGTTTATATTTGTCCAAAAAAAAATCGAAAATGTCGTATACATGCATCATATTCAATTTCACCGTATTGTGCTGAACATCTCTTACATGATCCAGATTTGAACGAGGTTAGTATGAATGAAAGATATGTTTTGTTAAAATGAACTCTATTTTATATTTCAAACAGTTTATAGGAGACTAAACGATCGTTACGCTGTCCATGTCCATTATCACCATCTCATAGTGTAGATCCATCAGATCTTAAACGACATTTAAAAGTATGTAATCAACGTCAAATTATTTTGGGACCATTTCACCGTTTATTATATAATTCGGCGCTTAAAGATGAAGTGATTGAGGATAACAATGATTATCCTGATATTTTAAAAGAAATTGATGACGAACAATTAGATTTACTAATCAAAAAATTAGAATATTTACATGATTCAACGGTTGAACAATCCGCAAACACATATAAAATACATGACGTTATTCAGACAGAATTAAACAAGGAAGATTGTGGTTTTAAAACACGAAAACATCTTGAACAAGTAAGAGATTCATTAAAAACCGAAAGAATATTTAATTGTTGTTTGATTTAGATTGGTTCCTTAATTGGACAATTGGATACATTGAATTTATTAAATGACGATACCTGTTACGTTGAATTGGGTGCTGGACGAGGGAAAACGTCGCATTTTCTTTCCATGTGTTTAACTGAAAAAATAAATATAGACTTTGTTTTGATTGAACGTGATCATCAACGTTATAAATTCGATTCTTATCATCGTGAAGGACAACAAGCAGGTCCACCATTCATACGCTATAGAATGGATATTAGAGATTTATATTTACCTGAAATACCAATTATAAAACAAAAACAATCGAATATAGTTGTTCTTAGTAAACATCTTTGTGGTTCGGGTACGGATTTGGCTCTTCGATGTGTTGTTAATATTATAAAAGAGATACCATTTATCAAAGCTGTTGTTATTGCAATCTGTTGTCATCATTGTATCAACTGGACAGAATATGTTGGAAAACAATTTTTTATTGAAAATAATTTTACACCAAGAGAATTTTATTTTGTTCGTGCCTTGACATCATGGTCAACATGTGAAAATCGATATAATCAAAAATTATCAGGTACTTTGTATAAAAGATAAAATATTAATTGTTTCTTTATCTGTTTTTTCCTATAGACGATCGACTACTATTTAATATGAAAAAAGATGAATCTATTGAAAAATCATCATATTCTAAAAGACGTTTTTATTCAATTCAACGACAAGAAGAAATTGGTGAAAAAGCAAAACGTTTATTGGATTGGGGACGTGTATTGTATTTGAAAAAGAACGGTTTCGATGCTCATTTAAATATTTATGCATCAAAAATAATTACATTAGAAAATGTAGCGATTGTAGCTCAACCGAAAGAATCTCAGGTTCAAGACACATAGCATCAGGGCAATTATTGTAACGTTTACTCTATAATTTATATGAATAAAGTAATTTTGATACTTCTTTCAACTGTCTCGAATTATTATTGAGTGTTTATATTCATTTGTATCAACAGAGAATGATTTCTCCTTTCAATAAGTCATAAAGACTATAAAACAGAACTCTTCTGTTAGAATGTTTCGACCATTTTGTATGCGATCAAAGCACAAAAAGATTTCATAGCGTTAAGGGTACTCAATTAGATTAGATTTAGAGATCTAAATGAAGGCTATTTCTAAGAAGATACATATTCATTACTCGAGTCCAAGATAGTTTTGTAGAGGATTGAATTCTGAACAAAATGAGCTATTGAATACGCCGCTGTCGTCAAAATCCAAACATATTAAGTGGTTTCGGGAAGGTTTTCTAGAGGCCTTCTAGAAAACCATTATGTTAAAAAGGTATATTTTGCGCATCTGGTAGTGCAGGCGTAGTCAATCCGCAAAGGGTCGGGAACATCTTTCCCCATTACTAGAACTGCTCTTTCACGAGTATGAGCGTATCTTCTGTTCCAAGAGATACCAGTTAGGCTTATTCCCGCATACGGGCAAAGAGACTGTAGCTGTGTCAAATGCTGTGTTCAACCATGAAACTTATGTACTAACTTCAGTTTCATCTGATCTACACCATGCAGACGCCAAATGTGGCGTATAATAGATACCGGCAAATGTACATCTTGAAAATTTCAAGCACTGCACGTATTTCTAAAGGGGTTTTCGAAGGATCGACTTTTTATTGCGTCAAATGGAGAGCTATGAAAAACATAGTTCTGCAAATCTTTTCGTTTCAACATCAGTCAAACTTCAATAGCTCATTTTGTTCAGAATTCAATCCTCTACAAAACTATCTTGGACTCGAGTAATGAATATGTATCTTCTCAGAAATAGCCTTCATTTAGATCTCTAAATCTAATCTAATTGAGTACCCTTAACACTATGAAACCTTTTTGTGCTTTGATCGCATACATAATACCTTGGACGACGTAGTTTTGCTCGTAGATTACGAATATGGTATTAAAACTCATTAAGAAACAAAAGCGTGCACAAAAAAAATCAAGTTCAAACTGAAAGATACCTAATTAGCGGATACGTTTTTTTCAATAAAAAATTATTTTCTTCTAGACGCGGATGGGTTTATATAAGCTTTATTCTGTCAGAATACAAATGGAAAAATAAAATTAAAAAAAAAAAATTGTTTCTAAAGGTTTTAATCGAGTGTACAACATAGTTCTCGAGTTGTACAATCGATTGGCATTACTTAGATTAATTATACAAGTCTCTGGAAAAATCTGCTGCTAAAACGTCAAAAACCGCCGCTACAGGATTTGACTTTTCAATTTTTCCTGATGAAGTTCAGGTTTTGAAATTATTCAAATTTTCGAAGCTTCAATATTCGGAATCAGCACGACGAGTTCTATTGCACGGTCCAGACATCTCGTCAAGAGACCCACATTTTAAGTTGAAGTTCTTCACCTTGAAGTTTTACGCTTTCCAACACATTAGTTAAGTTTCGTTCTTTATGAAACTTCAAAAATCGCTGCTTTTTTTCTGTTTCTTCTATATGATCTTCTCTTTTTTCGTCCTTTTTGATCTCTTTTTTTCCTTCTTTATGCATATAGAAATAGATAGAAAAGGGATCAGATAAAAAGTAATTGATTGATTAGTGAGTTACAAGACCCATCAATATCGCAAATTAAGGATAATTAAATACTTTATAGTAAAAAAATTAAAATTAACTTAAACGGGTGAAATTAATAAAAAGTAATAACTGAAAGAGTGGAAAAAAACGAAAAAACTATCGATGCAAATAAAAAAAAAACGATGTATAATATATGGCGAGAGGTATTGATAAGTTTTAGATCTAGATCCACAAACAGATATCAGATTCCTGATCACCATCCACAACAATTCGTAAAAAAGCGTTTTTTAGCAAGAAATCAATTTATCACATGCGTTACAAAAATCGATGGGGACAGTTTGGTGAATCTACCTTGTCACATACAGGATTTTTTAACAGCCCTTTTTTTTGGATTAAAACCTATTTTTTACTTTAGTCCAGAAACACTTTATTACAATGAGCGCAAGACCCAAACCTTCGTCTTATCTTTGTTCATTTTTAGATCCAACAGTCCTAAAATCCTCAAACTTCCTTTTGAGTTTTCTAGATATCCTAGATTCTCTAAACAACTCAGGCCTATTTAAAAACCGGCTCCCATCAACCCTCGTAGATTTCTTCGCTCTTTCTATTGAGAGTGTCTCACATAAACCATTATTGACAAAAAGCGCCGTATACATGTCTGAGCAAAAAATATTCTGAGAGGTGCTGTGTATTGGTTGATTCATTTTAGGACTTGTAGAAAAATGCCCGTCACTTTTTAACGCAAGGTCAAAAAAGGTTTTTGTTTAGAACCCTAGTTTTTGAAATTTGTAGAAAACTCAAAAACTCTTTGTCCTATGGTGATGCAGATCTATGTAGGAAGCTCGCGAGTCACCAGAAATCACTTTTAGACCTGGAAGCAATACAAATTCTGAAAATAGTTACTTCTCCATGTCGTTTTTATGATCGAACATTATCATTTCTGAGGAAGAACGCTTTAAGATGGATTAAACATGAATTGAATGACTTTTTACAGTATTAGACGGTCCGCGAAAATCAAAAATATTCGTATCACGAAGTAGTTATTTAGTATTTTCATACAGTTAACGACAGATGTCGTTAACTGTATCTTTGCAGTATTTGTCATAATGTCGCCCTTATAAGTAATAGTTGGGGAAACTTGACTTTGTAGGTTAGGTGCAGAAGTATTTAAGATTCAGTTTATAAACAGTTTCATTCGTTTATACAAACTATATACCTCGAAATCGTACCGAATATGCCCGATAATCGATAGAAAAGAGTTTTCTCGATCGTCTTAAATAAAGTGGTCACACGAAATCCAGACAATATCTAAGACCGTGAGAAATTTCGACAAACTGTCTAGATTCTAGTGGACTTTGATAATTCTTGTAAATTTAGAACGTCGTCCAAAAGACTAATGGAATCTGGACAATAAATTTATTGCATCCTCAAATATTTGAAGATTATGTTATGATCTATATCGGTCATTCATAATCGTTAGAATAATACGTAACCTTCTTTTTCATTTTGTAAGCTTTTTTAATCATTATACATATAGTGAAGCGAAATAATGTAAAAAAAATCAAATAGGAAATCGTAGTTGTTTTGTTCTTTCTATAAACGTATCATTTGTTTTTTTTATTTTTATTTTTTCTACATCATTATACAGGATTGTACATAATCTTTTCCTAAGGGGGTACAGCTCCAACGTCAAATGATATAAAAATGAGTCATGTACCAAACGAAAACTCATCGAAAACGGGATTAACGGGCATAACTGATAATCCATAGATGATTATGAGCTATAGAATTATGGAAGTTTCTATCGGGTGCGTGAATTCTGGGTATAGTGGTACTTTCAGTAGAAGTCTCATAACTTCATTGGAACAAAAGCTTTTTCCATCGGATTTGTCTTGTTTTGATCAAAAATGATTGCTCTCCACTATCTAACTGCACAATCAAAACTCCAATTATGTTTTCCGTTTTTTGCTTGGGCACGTTGTTGAAAACAGGGAACTTTTGAAACTTCATTCTTCAGCACGCCTGCTTTAAAACTTTTTTTTACAGACCGTGAGAAAGAGCATATTCAAAAGTACAAAACAAACCGAGTGCTCACTTTTCCTACACTTTTTACGGAAATGATAGCAGAAGAAAAAAGTTCAAATCGAAAAAAATACCAAATATAAAAAGCTTCAGTTTTTTCGCTTTTCGTATAATTTACGTAGTTCTGTTGATTGAAATACTAAAACTAAAGTTTAGATATGGTTTTGTAGAGTATTTCGTGGCGCAGCTTTTAAAAAAACATTAATCTTAGGATCCTAAAGAAACATGAGAAAAATAGAAAACCCTATGAGGCTCATTCATTATGACTTACCCGATAGAAACTTCCATAATTCTATAGCTCATAATCATCTATGGATTATCAGTTATGCCCCTTAATCCCGTTTTCGATGAGTTTTCATTTGGTACACGACTCATTTTTATATCAGTTGACGTTGGAGCTGTACCCCCTAGGAAAAGGTTATGCACAACCCTGTGCATTGATCACAACAAAAAGTTTATCGACCCCCTCTCCCCAATTTAGAAGCCTCGCGCCAGCTCTGCCTTGGTCGATGTAGTTCTGTTCGCAGACGACGAATACGGTTTTAAAACTTGTAAAGGAACAAAAACGCGCACAAAAAAAGTTAAATTCAGACCGAGAGATACCTAATTAGGGATACGTTTTTTTCAATAAAAAGTTATTTTCCCTTAGACGCGATTGATATAAGCTTTATTCTGACAGAATACAAGTGGAAAAATATTCCATTATAGTACTCTAAACTAAAATAATCGAAAAACACAAAATCAATTTTGGATTCAGACTTTAAAAAATCATGGTAGACAGAGTTCACACTCACGCACTTTCTGACAAAAATAGAATTTGGTTCTGTATTTGGTTTAGATTTTAGAAGCTTTTTACTGTATAAATGTAATACGGATATGATCGATTTTTTCCAAAACTATCTGTTTCTCCTATAAGAATCAGTCGCTAAAGGGCATGAAACAATAAATTTGTAGAGCGCTCATCGCTCTACAAGAATATAGATAAAAAATATTTCGTTGTACTTCGACGGAATCCGAGCGTTTGCCCTTACGCCAGGTCCATTCAACATCAAATTCGTTAGGGTACCCCGATCTCAGTAACCACAAAGAATCAACCCAAACACAATACATCGTTAGATCCGCTGTTAAGCGCTTTACAAAATCTGGTATATCAATCATGGGTTCAAGATAATTTGGAAATCTGACAGACCCTTTGACTAGAAAACGTCCAAAGTTTTCTTAAAATGAGAGTTGTCTCAAAGCCCTTAAAACAAGAGAAAATAGCCCTCTCTCGTAACAAGATTTGATATTCACGTGATAAAGGACAGTTAGATGTATACTTAACGCCGATACTAAAAAAGTCGATTTCTTTCGAAGAAGCGAGAGACACTTTTAAACACAACTACAAAGCTTTCTTTGATGAAGTTTGTCCGTTAAGCGCCTTCAAATTTAAAATCATTTGTGGTTAGTACATGTTTCATTTCATCAACACAAAATTGTTGAGCAACATGCTTTATAAATGCAAGTTTTCCTGTATCCAAACTTATTTAATGTTTTTTTGGAACATAGGCTTTATAATTATCTTTTTCATTCAGAAATGAATTCATGAGAAAAGAAGTTAATAGTTGATTATATGTTTTTATATCTAATGGTTGAATAATGAATAGATCTTATTTATTTTTCTTGAATATATTTTCGATTATTGCATTAGACATTTTATTTTGGAGATTTTTATTTAATTAGATTTTATTTACATTTGGAATGCCTTAAATGACACTTGGAGCTGTTGCTTGTTGGTCTCTATGACTGTCTGACGTCCCACAGAGTCTCATTTTTCTCTTTGGAGGTTCTTCTTCCATTTCAGAGATATTTCAATGTGGCTTCTTCTATATTGTTTTAGAAACAATGTTTACGGAACTTGGAAGAAACCGTCTATTTTCTTAACAAATCAACTTTCGTTTAGTTTTTATTAATAGGAGCAACGCGCTTCTTTTCCTTAATGAAGCTATGTTTTTATCAGAAAATAAGAGACTGATAGACTTGTTCTTAATTTTTAAATTTTTGTTAGACTTTCATTGAAATTAAATCGTAGAAATTCAGAATCATATCGTGTGCTCACAAACACTTCATTCAGACTCATTTTATCCTTTTTTTTATTGTTTTTCAACCATATAAAGGTTAAAAGAAGCATACATTATAACAACGAAAATCGAGAACAATTTTGTATGAGGAAAACAAAAAAATACAACGAAAAAGTGACGTTCACACACAGTAGGACATATTTATATGTATTTAATGAATGCAATGGGCGCGACTTTTCTTCTTTTTTTTTTTTAAAACAATGCAGAAAATGATGAAACAGATAAAACTCGTTATTCCTAAAAACGACAAAAAAGTATAGATAGAAAAAAATGCATGATGAATAGAGTGTAAAGTGACTGATGCAGGTACACAAAAATTCAATATGAGTAGAAAAAGCCATAGTATAATTAGATGTCTGATTTTTACAACGCAATTGAATCGACAGTACGAAAGATTTCAGAGCCAATAGAAATAGTAGAACATGACATATTTTTTTTTTTTTGAAGGTAATAAAAATAATTTGTCTATGATTTATAATGCAGTAAAATCTTGAGTAGACGATATATTAAATTAGCGGATGATGTTTTGACTATTCATATAATTCTGTACTTGCTTTTAAGTCTTGATCAATAGAAAAAAAAGACACGAAAAAAAAAACAGAGAATATGACCATGATCGCGACTAGAGTGTTAAGTCAAGCGTAAATATCTTTTACCAATCAATATTTAAGTTTGATTCGTTTTGTCATGATGATGATGTGTGTTTGAATCAATTTGTTGTGTATGCTCCTTTTTTATTTGATGATAACTCGATGAATCAGACAATGAATGATGTGAATTGTTGGACGCTTCTAATTTAACATTTGGATCGTTTAACGATTTAAAATTATTTTCTTTTTTCCACTTCATACGGCGATTCTGAAACCAAATTTTAATTTGTCTTTCAGTTAGATTTAATTGATGTGCAATTTCTATTCGTCGACGTCGTGTTAAATATCTACTAAAATAAAGTTTAGTGTCAACTTATGATCGTCACTGTATTTATTTTCTATAGTTGTATATAACCAAAATTTAGACAGAAAAATAAGATAGAATAAGACAGACATACTTAGTATAATGAAATTCTTTTTCTAATTCCAATGTTTGATGTCGAGTATAGGTTTGACGAGTACGTTTATGTTCAAAATTAAACTCTAAACAAATAAAGAACGATAATTACTTTCTGTTCAAATCTTTGTTTGACAGAGTCTTCCTTGAAGCTTTTCCTAAATATTAAACGATCTCTGAATTGTAAAAGTATCCGACAAGAGTCTGATTACTACTAATTTAATATCCTCGTTCATAAGTCACTGTGTTGACTGCAGAAGAAAGTAAACTGTTGTTTTTGAGTCAGGGATTAAATTTCTTGCGGATAAATCCATTTTTTAATAGAGCAGAATGCCTTTTAAAACATTCAGTTGCTCAACCAGAGAAACAGTAAGAAAAAAAGTATACATGTTTAACTGATGGTGCACACACACACACACACACACACACACACACAGCATGCGTTATTTTATCTGTGTGATTAACTGTAGATAGAACAGTTAACGTTTCCTTGTTTGCCTATAAATCAAACAAATATAATGAAGTTCTTGTCATACATCTTTTTTTTCTGGATATGTCAGAACTGGTAAAATAGAAAGATAACTATACTTATTATTATTGTTACTATAATGAATTAGTTTACCGCAATAGATATTAGACAAATAGGTTCAAGGATCGAATGATCGATTGTTAAGCGCTCTCTCCGTAAGACTTCTCTCTATCAAATGAGACAAATAGAATAATTTGTTACAACATTAAAAAGTTGTAGGGATGTGATGATGACAAAATGACGCTTGCATTTAATAAATATTCATATAGAAATAATAGTAGTGAAAAGAAATATAATTGAAAAAACATGCATATACCTTTTCGAAAGGTGTTCGTCATTTGCTGTGTTGTATACTGTAGAGATATTCAAATTGACTTCTATCAATCTTTGGATGGATGTACTGTGACATTTATTTTTAAGTCTTATATCCATCTGGTGGATGTAAGAAATAAATAAATGTTTAGGATGCACACATCATCATCAAAAGTGAAGAATTCTTTGTGTGATGTTGTTCTCGCTGGTGTTGGTGCTCACATTAATGATCCATGAGACATCACCAAATACAGAGGATGAGAATGTAATAGAGACAATTCTAATGCCTCTATCTAAGCTGTTTTAAACAGCTTAGAGGTTCTGGTAATACCAGAAAATTTTAGTTGTCAAAAAGGCTACTTACATCGGCTATACCATTCTGCATTAAAAAAATTAAATTTTTCGAAGGTTTTTTTATACCTCATGAAATTTTATTCTAATTGAACACCTTTTAAGCAGAATAATGAAATTATCTACTAGCTTTGACTCATGGTATTAAAAATTCTGAACTATAAAATGAATTGTACTTGATTTTTTGTTAAGTCAACGGTGTTGTGAGACCTATATTAACTGAATGACGAGCTACTTCATCGGTTTTCACGAATCTCTTACGTTGCACACTGCTTATTTAGTTGAAAAAATGATTTAAACTTACCCGGACCACTACCTGGTCTCATCCAATTATAGTATAACATTGGATTAGCTGTCATGGCACTGAAATGTGATGATAATTGATGATGATGATGCATGGGTGATTGCATTCCTAGAGCGGCTGCTGCATCTTGCATTTTCCAACTACCATTTGGTACCGATGTTAAATAGTCACTTGTAAATTGTCCATTATGTGTAGATGATGCGGATACTGATGCAGCGTTGTGATGTTGCATTGCTGCTTGCATCATGGTAAAATTTGAATAAGGATGAAGATTTGATTTAGCCGGCGATGATGATGTGGTAGATGTAAAATTTTTCAAATCGAGACGATCAAAACCACTAAAGCGTGGATAATCTAATGAACTTGATGTATCATATGGAAACGTGGTGGTTGCTGCTGATCCAAGGTGGTTATCTAAGTTTCCGACGATATTTGAACCATTTTGATTGGTTCCATTACTCGTACTGCTATTTGTGGTTGTACCTGTACCATTTCCCAATAATAAATGATGGTGTTGTTGATCAGATGAACTTTGCCCTCCACCATTTGAAAATAGATCATTTGACAAACCAAAATTATAGCTCATAATTTTTTATGTTGGTATCATTATGTTGCAAAAAAATATATCTTTGAATTATTTCGTGTTAATATGTGTTTTTATGATCAATTAAAGTTTTATTTTATTATCTAATCATATGTATTATAAAATTAACAAGTCATTGCTTCTTTTTTCCTCTTCTCTACTTTTTTTTTTATGTTGAAGTTAAACGACGAGGACAATTTTACTCAGGTTGACTCCTGTTGTTATGGTGTTGTTCTGGTTAATAATAATAAAAATAATAATTTGTCTAGTTGTATAGTGTTTAAATGGCAATTGAAATGTGTGCAATGATCACCACTTTACAATGATTTGTTATAGCATAAAGAGACGAACAAAGAAATATTATTTCTAGTATAAAATGTCCAGTAAGACTGTTCGTAATGGCTATAATATTGCAGTTATTCTTATTGTTATGATTATTTCCGGGAAGAAATTTAACGAGACATCGCTATCTCTCATTTCTTTTTCTTTTTTTCTCTCTCTCTCTCAACCCTGACCATATGGTTGTGCGTTAAGTTCAATACACCAATGATCAACTATCCAGATTGTATACCTTATTTTGATTTGATGATTGTATGGTTTTTTTCTTCTGCTTTTTTACAATTTGTCGACAATATGTGTCCCAAAAGAAAGATCGATCTTTTTCCCAATATACTTTACTCACGTATATACAGATAGGTATACTAATTTTTTTTTTCTTTTCTTTTCATCATTAACTCAATAGAGAGATACGTACGTGCAAACATAGAGTTTATTCATAAAAAGAAAAAATATCTTCCTTTCAGCGAAATATAAAAATGATGATATATATATATATATATGTATGAGTTAAATACCTCTGGGGCCATTAACGCGCATGCGTATGTTTTTGATAACAAGTTTTGTAAAGAAAAATATTACGTTTTCTTATACATTGTAAATTTTATATACGATGAAAGTCAAATGATATATTGGTTTTGACTTAGTTTTTGCTAACTGATCGGTTATTCAGATACGAAGTCGAATAAAAAATACTTTCATCGAATAGAGGAGCTACAGATTATATTAGGTAAAGGATGGTCCAGAATTACTGAAACGAATTGACTACTAATCACTACTGGAACGTTTCAATAACTCTGGTTCACCCTTTGTATATCTTTTTTTGTTTTATTTCGTATAAAAAAATACAACTTAATAAGAGTAAATCTTTTTCAGCACCAAGCATGCACGAGTCCGAGTCCTGACTGAAACATTTTTTTTTGAGAACTCGGACCTGGACTGATGATCCGAAAGATTTGGACTCAAACTTAAGTTTTGTATTTCGAGTTCGTTCGATTCAAGTTTTAACAAATGAACACTAAATTTTTTCTTTATTTTTATTGTTCTGAGTTCGATGCGATTTAAGGACGGTCTGTCTACATCTGTTCATTCAAGATCAATGTCCAAAAAATGAAAGGGGAAGTAACAACTTCTATTCCACAAGAAACTGAAAATTTTATACGGGAGAGCAAAGTAATCTTATTTTCAAAAAATCGAATATCTATCCAGGTCTCAGTAAATTAGTTAGAAAACTTTTATATGTTCCGGCTACGTCTGTACCCATTGAGCATATTTTTTCTCCATCAGGATTTTTGATTAGACGCGAAAGAGCACGTTTTACGAAAAACAATCTCTCTCAACTGACATTATTAAAGTGTAGTAACTTTTTCTGTTTCAACAGATTGATGTATTAAATGGCACAGAAAAAAAAATAAAAATAAACCGCAATCATCAAAAAAGAATCTAAAAGATTGCCGGACTCGAACTCGGTCCTTAATGTTAGGGACTCGGAATGAATTTTTACGGACTTGGTACCTTCACAGACTCGCCCAACCCTGTCCAGCACATCTATTTTTACAAAGTTCGGCACATTATAGAACAGAATCGAATAATAATAGTTTGTTTTAAACTTAAAATTTTCTTGCTGCAGACCAAATCAACATTTTTAATAGAGCACAAATAGCAGCTTTAACTTTCAAAGCAGCTTGCCTTTACAGTTTCGTTGTCCGCCACGTGCTTTAAAGATACACTGTTCAAACTTCGACGTCGACAAGTCGTGTACTGACACTGGACAAGTTACTTATGCCTTAGTACCTCTGATCATCTCCCTGGCAGCGTACCTCTACCTTGCGACGTACAACATAGTTTCGCTGATTTGTCAAAAAGCTAGTACATGATGATTAAATGCAGAACTCAGACAATCGAGTGACAATACTCTGCGTCAGAATAATCTTTTGTCAATCACTCTTTTGTAGCATTAGCAAAAAATGCCCGACCTTTGCCTGAGAAAACGCAATTGATTAGAACATTGTGCATAGTACAAGAGCTCTAACGTGTTTTATTGCTCATTGTCACGCAACTTAGTTCTAGCTTAAAAAGAAGAGAAACGAAGATGCTCTTTGTTTCATATAGTCCACACACGTTCCTAAGGCTGTTCTATTTCAGGTTTTCATACCTTTCACTTATTTAGACATCTTTTCTACTTTAAACAACAAACAGTGGTCGTATTCCAGTGAATATGCTGTTGAAGAATGTCAATGATGGCGCGATCAGTTTGATGATATGTTGATAATTAAACGTTAGTAGATCAATTCTATGTACTTCATTTAAATGCCAAGTGAGCATAACAGCAGTTCATAGAAGAAAAGATAAATTTTATGGTCTAGTGCTATTTTATGTTGGAAAATGTTAAAATGAACTCGAAATTCTGATAACCATAGTAAAATCTATAAGATCAATCATACCATCACTATATTCTTCGCCATTTACGAACGTTTATAAACATATACGACAGATGAAAAGGCATGTGACTGAGAGATAGTTTTGAGAAAGTTGGATATACACAAGCAAGAAGATATCTTTAAGATCGTTAAGAGGATAGTAAATTTTGTTAAATAATTAACTACCCTCTGACTGTAAAAATGACTAGAAACTGTTACTATTGGATTTAAGCGAAAAAACAGATGTCAAAACACATTTGAAATTAACGAACATACAGGGTTTTCATACAAATTCCGACCAATTTCTGAAGTGTTTTGTCAAAATAGTTATACATAATGCACAGATAATCGAATATTTCCATCAATCGAAGAAAGGAAAAAAATTTCAAGAAATCGATCGTGTCGATCGATGGTGAGTCGAACACGATAATATCTTTACTTCTCATAGTAGTATAATACTTAGACTGGCTGATATTCAGCGATTATACAGAGTAGAAAATGGGCTTGTCAATAGTATATTCTGAGTAATCGTTTTCTTTTCTTTTTAACAAATGTACAAGACTTCAAAGTAAAATTTCTTTGAAACACTTGAGAATAAGTCGATTGACATTATATAGAAAAGAAAAAAGTATTTGTTTTAACCTCTAATTGTTAAAAACTTATCAATGTATGTAAACTAAGGTCATTTAGGGAAAATGTTGAAAGTGATTTTTGATTAAGATCAACAAACAATAAGACAAGTAGAATAAATTTGAACAATAATATAGATGTGTATATGTGTTCCTCTCTTTGCCTATCAATAAAATGATCATAAATGACAGTCTTAAACAAAAAGAGTAAGTATAGTTAGAACTACCGCTAATTAGATTTATCAAAGAATGATTGGTTGTCACTACGTTTAGATAAAATTGTTCTTTTCTACTTCAACTCATCTGAATAACACCCGTTAAAGTACCATACCATTGAATGAAGCCATGACGTATTATTTTCAACCAAGTTCAATAGATATTTAAGTGTGTTTTTTGACGCGTGTCCTCGATCTCAAGCATTTTTTGTTGATCAATGAAAAAAAAATAAAACAACAAGCGATAATAACACGTCACGATGGCTGATTTTCTTTTAACACCTATTACGTTTTTATTGATCGTATGTTACAACGTATCTTGGCTACTTGAATCAACTGTCTTTTTCTATTGTGACTTGTTTCTTAATGGCAATTTAATGACAAACTTTTTTTTATGAACTATGTATTAGGCTCAATTTTTCTTGTTTTGTCGGCAACGGGAGTTCCGATCGATTGATTATTGTTAAGTTTGTTCCTTGTTATAACGTCAACTAAATTTTTCAATTAGAACAAAAAATTTGCATTATTTTTGTTGAAAATCAATTAATTCATTCTACGTGTGTATAAACAGACTTGACCTTAAACTCGTCTGACAAAATTTACTATTCATTACAGTTGTGACTACATAAAGTGGCAAATAACTAATAGATCGAACGTAATAGTAACTCATAATTGGTTAAGATTTTGTTTTCTTCCTATTGACTGTTTTATTATTAAAAAGATATTTTTAAAATGTTTTTTCTCTCTTATTTTTCTTATGCATGATAACTCGATTCAGTTATAGACATTTTTTCCTAAAATAGATGCAACAAATTTGTGTTGTTGTCTAGATTTCTGAACTATTAACATTTTATTTCTCAATATGGTCTTCCACTTCAAATAAATCAAGATCATATTTCAAGGAACAATTTGTATTGTTGCTTTTTATGCACCTTCTCATATCATATTCTCTCATAGTGAATAGAGATATTTTTAACTATTTTTTTTTCTTGATAAAGCAAGGCCTTAATAAATAGCTGCAAGTAAAGGAGACCAATGGTTAGTGTACAGGCATCAGAGGAGCAAAATGTATGAGAAAAAATCAAAGAAAATATCAGTAAACGTAGTAAAATACTTGAACCATTTCCCTCTAAATATTCTCAAATGAACAGCGAATTCGTGTTATGATCATTACGTATAAGTCACTGTAGTTAAATGACAGTTATTAGAATATCAAATAAATCATTAGCGTAATTCTGATTAATGAAGTATGCCCATTTTTTCTTTTTATCCAACGATTAAAACAAAAAAAAAGAAAAATAATTTGTTTGTAATGTCTAACTAAGTAGTTTCGTACAAATCGTATGAATATCAATATTTTGTCACACGTCAAAGATTAAAGGAAAAACGTTTGTACGCTCGGAATAGGCACCTATGTGATTTTTTATGTGTGGATTGTTTCACAGCTATAAGAAAAACTTCATTTTTAACTTATGCGGAAATATGCTCAAGCGATCCACCTCGATTCCCTGAAATATACTTTCTCTACTATTATTTTTGATGTCAAACAACATCTTGTAATTAGAAAAATTGTCAGTTAGAAAAAAAGCCATGTCTGTGGTCATCAAAAAGTTTTAATAATGCTGTGAGAACTTGTTTGATAGCTGTTGAAATTTTTATACATAACTAAGTCGACATGCCTGATAATCTTGCAATACCCGTGTGTGTTCAATTCAAACTTTATGATCGATATCTAGAAGCCAGGCTTCCGTAAGGAAGATTTACGTACTGAAATGATTAACAGGTTCGTGATCAGCAGCAAGAATAACCTAAACAAATACGTTTTAAGGAAATCGTTGTGAATCATCCATGAATATTCCATCGTTCGCGACTGCGTCCAAGAAGAAAACAAACGCTTTTTAAATGATGATCCTCATGTTTTTTGAACTAACTTCATCAACATGAGGAGAAAAATCAAATTTTGATTGTCTGTGGTATTATGGTACATAGTCAATCAAATCATCCACTTACCTCTAGTGATGAAATTTCAAAGATTTTACTCATACACTTATCGAAGTAAATATAAAACCATCGTAAGTTTCTCTTTTTGCATAATTTGTTGTATTACGAACCGGAAAAATAAATAATTTTTGTGTTATTGTTGTAACTACTGAACAATCCATATAAGATATTTATCGTTAAAAAAATGATAGTGACACAAAATGATACGACATTTTCTACATTTATTTAATATTTAAGCAATATCACGAGCATTTATAACACTAAGAGCATCTGCA